GAAGAAGGCAGAAGAACAACGGAAGGCTGAGGAGGAGGCAAAGAAAGAAGAGGAGGCAAAGAAGGCAGAAGAACGCAAGAAGAAGGCAAAGGAAATTTTGAGGAGAGCTGAAGAAGAATTGAAGGCAGAAGAACGGACGGCTGAGGAGGACGGAAAGAAGGCAGAAGAAGTGAAGAAGGCAGAAGAACAACAGAAGGCAGAAAGATTCCAAAAGGCAAAGAAATGTTTCATGAACATGAGATCAAGAGTTGAAGAAGAAAGAATTGAAGAAATGAATGCAAAAGAGAAAAAGAAGGAATTCGAGGACGCAAAGAGAAATACATTGAAAAGAGTTCGTGAGGAGGGGGGCCCAGAGATTGACAGGGATGTCGATGATGTTCTGGATCAAGTCTCGAAGTTGCGCAGGGTCCTGTCAAGATTGGAAGCCAAGGTATCCACACAGGAACAGTTCGAGAGTGTGAAGATGCTCATCAAAGATGCATGCACCTCGATGGCCACAGAGGAGGAAATTGAAGTGTACAGCGACAATGATGGGCCAAAGACAACCAAAGGCACTTTCAAGGACTTGCGGGACGTTTTAACTTTCAAGGAACCGTTTAACCCACAACGCTAGTCTGCTAAGACTGCAGTTGAACTCGATCTAATCAAGCTAGGCAGTCGGAACTATACCGCAAAAATAAATAGGGCCAACTACACTACAGTTGGCCCTATTTATTTGTGTGGTCTCCTGACTTAATGACTGACCGTTGATTGCGACTGTTTATTCCGGAGCCTTGGCAGGACACCCGGCCACTATTTCAAGAAATCCCACAGCTGTTGCACGTCAACCACGACGACGAGGAGGTGAATGAATTTGACTTAGCGAATGTTCTTCAGGCAGGGCATCACGCAAGTCGGTTCCCCCCACCACTTCTCTCCCCTTTTCACCACTGGTGCCCTTGAAACCACCTTCCCTTGGTTGCAGGAACAAAGGGAATTGAGGAAGCAAAGGAAAGATGAACTTAAGGAAGAAGCTGCACGCCCGAAAGCGAAAGCGAAGAGAGGGCGAAAGCCTAAGCAGCCTGAGGATGACAACAAGGAGTTTTCCATGGAGGACGAACTTGACGAAGTGGATGAAGAAATGAAGGCAGAAAGAGGCGAGGAAGCAAGCGGAGACGAAGCCGCAACACGTGGGCGTGGCAGGGGACGTGGCAAGGGACGTGGAAAGGGTCGTGGCAAGGCCAAAGCGCGTGGAAAGGCAAAATCAAGCAAGAAGGGCACCGATGAACCATGCGCAAAGGAACCAGAGGCAGCACAAGAAGTCCACCAAAGTCGAAAGCAAACATCTGAAGCCGAACCGAGTGGAAGATCAGCACATGAGGAGGCTGAGGTTGGAGATGGTCGCAAGAGTGGGCACAAACGTCGTCAGAAGAGTTTGGGTGGTGAAGATGATGAGGCACTGAGGGAAGACTGGGGGTGTGATCAGTTTGAACGAACGTCATGACCGAATTTTAAAGCCTGTGATCTTTATTAATTTGATCTACCGTTTAAACAATGTTTTTATGGGACGCGGTGATCGTCGGGACAAATAAATGTTCTCCGGTTTCCCAAACCACTGTGCTAGCTAGGGTGGTGAGAAGCAAAAGAAGTTGAAGAAGGTCTACGCATTCCCAAAGGACAGGCTGCTGCGCAGCCACCAGGGCCCAGGGTGTTCATGCACATGCATTCCAAATCCAGAGCGTGACAATCATGTCATCCATCCCAAGCTTGGTCTTAGATCTACACCCGGGCCCTGTCGACATGTCATCACCTGGTCAAATTCCGGCCTCTGCAGGAGACCCGTGCGAGGAACGTCCAATTCATCCGTGATCTGGCGAAGGACCCGGAACTGATGTACTCTCTTCCCAGTGAGGACAAGCTGACTGATGTAATGCTCGGAACTCAACATATACTTGTTTGGGGAGTACCCAGCTTCTTTTTGCTCATAGGTGGACCTGATCTAGCGCCGTGCCGTGTCATTAATGGTGCCCCAGGTCTTGGACAGACCATGCCCCAGAAGCTTTGCAGAAGAAGAACACAATTGCCATCGCCACATTGCCGGGGCCGTGTTACTTGTGAGTTTTAGATAAGGAGTAGACCCCATATTACCTGAGGCTCACTGGTAGCTTCTACATCACCAACGTCAATGCAAAGGTTTGGGAGGCCATCAATGAAGCTCTTGGGAAGGACTTCCAGGCACCCCTTTTCATGTCTCAATCTTTGGATCTGCTTTATCATGTTTTTTGGCCAGCCAAACAAGAAGCATGGCATCACTATCACTTGGGGTCGACATGGTGGTTGCCTTCCTGCGCATGGAACTTAACTTTGTGCCCATGCACGTGTTGGAGCATTTTTAGCTTAGTCGGGTCCTGGGTACTATGAACTAGCTAGTTTACATAACTGAGGTGGAACATTGCCCGTGCCATGGCTGGCTGGATTGAGCTTTCCGACCTAGTCACTAGTCCCTGAAGTCTGAAAAGACCAGGCCTGTAGTGACGCTAACTCTTCTTTAGGTCCGGGCGTGGCAGATTCACAAACGTAAATTACATTATAAACCTCATTGATAGTTGAATGAAGTGTTTTCTATTCATCTTGTAGCCACGCTCCTTTTGGCCAACGTGAACGTATCGAGTTCATGTTTACTTCCATTGGGGTTGAGCCGCTCTTAGCTCTTGATGCGGTTCCGATACATGATCGAAGAATCACATGGGGAAAAAGGGTGTCGCTACTAGCATGGCTTCTGGATTCACCTGATTGAAATTCGTACAGTGTTTGCAACAGGTTGGGTGCATGAATTATTACTATTGCAGTGCCCGGCTCATTGAGTTCTGACCGTGCTAGGATCTGAAACTAGCAGGATGCCTGATCAGGCGTGGAAGAAAAGCCCCTTAGTTATGACCGCTTGCATGGCTTCTATGGCCCTTTTTCTTGGCCTTCCAGTCTGTGTGCCCAGCCCCTGGTGTGTCTATAGTTTAGTAACCGGTAACCTGGTCTTGGACGGATGCCCGTTTGAGGTTGGAACTTTGTGACTTTGTGGCTATGTCCAGTGCTGATGTCCACACTCGGGCTGGGGACCTCATGTCGTGTTGGTCGATCCGGCTCACCACCCACATCTGTGCAGCCAACCAGACCTGTCCATCCGATCCTCCAGATTCTCAAAGTTCCGCTCTTCCATCGGTGGCCACGCGGCTAAGGACCTTTCGGCATTCGACGTGTTCAGTGGAGCAGGCGCTGTCAGCACAGCGTTCGGTAGGCGTCTCAATTTTGCTGCGCAGTGCTTTTTTGGTAATGATCTATTAATTGATCAAGGCACTGCTGGTCATGCATCGCAGGGGTCTCATTTCACTGAACAAACCGTAGTTTGTATTTCCCTAGTATACATGTGTGACCACGGCACTCAAGGCAGTACTTTGATGTTGAATCTCGTGGAACTCTGAATGATATTTGCACCACGCTTGGCGCCTCAGGATTCTTGAAAATATTTCGTGTAGTGACCTCCCTACTGATCTTTTCATTAGATCTCGAAGCATGGATCTTGAGAAATAAACATAAGGCGGGCCCTTTCATTCTTGTAGTACATGCGATTCGACTGAGATCCGGGTTCTGCCAAGCTTTGCTTGGCACACTGCGTCTACGAGCTGATGGACTACTCATGCTTGGCCCACCGTGCGGAAGTTTTGTTTGGGTCAACCAAGCAACTTCAAAACGGAGCAAGGATAGACCCTATGGTGATGAATCAAAGGAATACGTGAACATTGCATCACTGAGCTTTGGTGTGAATTACTCACTAGAGTCTGAGTCACGGCATGTTTTTCTACTTATCTTTAAGCTATATATGTGTTGGATCCATTGAATTGCTAAGGATATGCGCTCGGGCGTTGATGCTTTGCATCATCGCCACAGTACGGGGAGCTTACATGGCTCTTGAGCAGCCAGCAAGCAGTCAAATGAAACACTTCCCGGACTTTGTGCACACTGCGAAGAGAATCCAAAATCTTTTGGGAATGTGGAAAGAACAGTATTTGCCTGGGGCTCATTCTTCAAATATCATATACCCTGTACCTTTGGGAAGTTTATGTTCATGATGAATTCAAACATCGCCAACACTCTCCGAGTTGTATGGGAGCGTGGGGATCTCCGACACTCAAGCCCACGCGCCTATGGGGCACAGTGTATGGAACTCGGTCCAGCCTGTAGCGCGCATAGAAAGTTCAACATTGGATGAATTGCCCCCCGTGCTTCTTTTAAAATGTTTCTGATCTGTTCACGAGGCCTTGGATGAAATTCCTTCACCGCAAACTTTCACGTGTTGAAAGACGCAAACTTGCGGCAAACTCAGCAAAGCTCAAAGTGGCCATCAAGAAGATCAAAGATGATGGGACCATACAAGTGCTAGAAACTTAGTTCGGTGCATCAATCAAGTCAACCCTTAGTGCCCTGCCCGGACCACCGGCCACCGATCCCAGGACTGGTGGCCCTGGCCTACGCAAAACACAGGTGTACCCATTAAAGTTTGGCCGGAGGGTTTGTGAACTTCACGTGCAACTGATGGACCGACCCGATCCATGCATGCATGATGCATGTGTCATGTCCGTGACGTGATCCAGCCAGTTCATAAAACACCGCACTAAAATTTTAAAATGTTGGGAAATCAGTGGTAGAATGAATGCACCTCTGGTGCAAGGACACCGAAGGCCTCAAACTGCAAGCTGCTGTCAAGCACGCCTGGCACCAGCTGAAGGAGATGAAGAAGAAGCCCGTGCTCGACCTTCATGCATTCGTGATTTGACCGATCGAGATCGACAATAAATCACGATGGATCGACAAGTGCGATGTCGTATAAAGTGTAAAGTTGTAAATTAATAATATTGCGTGCATTGTGCATAGGCCTGGGCCTATAGGGAGGATCAGCCCACATGTGACATGAACAAAGCAACATCATCTCAGCCTAGCGTCTGGCGATGGGAGACAAACCCAGCATCCAGAAGAGCCATTGGCCATTGGTGGGAGACAAAGGGAGCCAAACGGATACAAAGCAGAATCATCTCACCCAAGCACCTACCGGGAGATAAAGCAGAATCATCAGCTCAGCACAAGCACACAATACACGGCACCAAACTGCCACAATGGTGGCGCCACAGAGACGTCCTTGAGCTGGTAGAGACCGTAGTAGAGACCCGATCTTCAGTGCCAATGCAGCTGCACCAATAATAACGTGTTTGTTGCACCTTCCATGTACTCTCTCGGGTTCTCGAGGTGTGTGGACTCGACGCGTGCTGATCTGGACACCTCAATGCGCGTTCTTCGAAAATGGGTTGCCCCATGTGTCCATCACAACGACCAAGCTTGTGTAAGCGTTCTGCGTCTTGTGCGTCGAACCCGATGTTGAACTGCACATCCACAGTGCTCACGTTCCACTAGGTCTATAGCTTGACCCGAGTATCATGTGCTCCACACGCCTTTCGAAGTTCACATCATCCGGCAAACATCAATCAATGCAAAGTACAGTCCGTTCAGTTCAAAAGCTGGCATGCATGCATGCACACCATGAACCGATTGAGTCTCGAGATCTCACGGTCATCAGTCATCAGGTACAAAGGCGTGGGGCTTGGAAGAAAGCGGGCGTCCCCGAACTGAAGAAATTTGCACTCAAGGTCACGCAGGCAAAGCGCCGGCACACTTGATCGAGGGGCTACAGCAGCTCCGATTCAATTTTGCTAGGGGGGCGCTTGTTGGGATCTTGTAATTTGTCCATCTTTTTCAATACATGTGCAGTGAAAAAAAACATTTAAAATTTTGCCTTGAGCCCAGCAGGCTTGCCCTCCTGGGCTTGTCAATGCCAATTCAAAACGTTGGCCTGCCAACGCATGTCAGTGCCACAGGAGTCTTGCAGTGTCCAAACCCTGATCCCCCTTGGCAAGTTGAGAAAATAAAAAGCATGTCTGACAGGGTCCAAAGTTGGAGTGAACACTGGGATTACACACCAAAGGCCCCCGAAAGTCAGGACTTTTCCCCGATTAGACGGTCGATCCATTATGAATTCCATATGAATTCTGGTGCTCTAGAGCGAAGGTTTAACATTATTTTTTGGGAGACACCCAAATTTAGTCTGATTTCCATATGAATTTCCATGGATCCATATGAATTCCACAGGAAGTTGAATTAATCCCATATGAATTAAGGGAGTGATCATCAAGAAGAGTTTTAAAGTATTTTTTTGGATCCAGGTGGGACCCCCCTCGCGTGAAGTTGCGTGAACTACCCGTGAAGTTC